GGCACCCTACCCTTTTGAGCTACAGGCGCCACCCTACCTCAGTTTCTTTATCTGAAAATGGTACTCATCTATTGGGATATTCAAAGGATGGAATGAATTAATACACAAAAAATATTTAGAAATAGTGCTTGACACAATCATTAATGCTTATCTAGTATTATTATATGTAATGAGGCTGCATATGTAGAAAGTAGGGCTTATTTTCAGAGCAGAGGGCCCTACTGCACCCTGTACTGAGTTGGACCCAGAGTGTATCTACCTAACTTGGTAAAAACAGTCACCTTGGTCAGGGAGGAGTGGCCAGGGAGTTATTCAGGTGGCCAGGCCCTGGGTGGAGTCTGGGATCACTGCTGTGTGTTCACACTCCTGAGCCCTCTTTCCCCTTGCCTCTGTCACAAGTCATAAAGCACACAGGGCCGGTCAAGAAGTAGGGGTGAGTGTAGGTGGGGGAGGGCTCTAACTCCTCTGTGGTGGGACAACTCTCTTCTGCTCCCTAGTTCTTTTCCAAGCTTGGAAAATAACACCGTCTACTCTCTCCTGGCTCTGTAATTTTCCAGCTGACCTGGAATTCCCCCTGACTCCTGTCCTGTTTCCTGGGGCAGAGGGGCCCCAGTTCAGGGACCCCAAGGACTCCACCCTTCTCTGCTGGCCACAAATGGGTATGCCAAAGACTTTGGAAAGCCATTGCCAGGAGGGACCCCAGCTAGAGGTGTATGTGCTCCCAGGAAGGCAACGCTGAGGCAGTTTTCAAGTTAAACTTGTTTAGTGACTCAGAAGATTCTTGAGTTTTTGATTCTCTACTCTCTTTCCCACTAGGGCTCCACTGTTTTCTTCTTCCTTCTCTGTCTGCCTTCCTTCTCTGCTTCCCTGTGCGTCTCAGCTGGAGGCGTCCATTGAGATCATCTAAATAATCCCCTCTTCTTACAGAGGCCCAGAACTCAGAAGAGACTTGCCCCCATAATCACACAGCGGGTTGATACAGGGCCAGCCCTGGAACCTAGCAGCACCTCAGTGCTCAGTCCAGGGCTAAGGCCAACCTTCCCTTTCAAAGGCATCTTCTGGGACTTTGTAGTATTTTAAGTCAACAATCCGCCTAGAATGGATTTCTCTCTACCCTAATAAAACTCCACGGAAGACACAACTCAGAATCGGACTGCCCACGACCAGGGCTGCCTAGGACTCCAGTTATCTGCCTCCTGTCTGAAGGGTTCTTTCCTTCAAAGGCATTCTGGAAACAGGTATCTGTTAGAACCTTGCTCAACAGCTAGCACAGAAAATATTTTACAGAGAAATTATTATCCCTTCTTCCCCCTTAACACACTCTTAAGGAGATAAGAACTGGAATTTCTTTTAGCTGTAGAAGGAAGGATAAAATTTGCATCGGAGAGCAGTAAACAGTAGGAAGAGTAACTCGGAGAGAATGTGATATCTCTTTTCAAGGGATGGTCCTGCACAGGTGGAGGGCAGCTTTGCTTGGAGACCAGAATGGCTGGAATGGCACCCACAGGTAATGGTCGCAGACTGGCTCCGGGGAAGGGAGGTGCCCCACGGAGCCACAGAGCTTCTACCTAAATGTTTTGGTGGCGAACGGCAGAGAGGGCGGTGCACTGCCCTAGGTAATGATAGGGCATTCTTGGAAGCCACGCGGGGGCTGCCCGTCGCGGCCACTGCTACAAAGACAGCTAGGAGACCTCGGGCTTTCTTCCCTAGGGTACCAGCCCCACCCCTCCATCTCCCCTCCTAGCACCCCCCACCTCCGTCCCGCCTCGCCCCGCCCCCCTCCTGGCAGCCCCAGCGCGCATGCTCTCTCCCCCCGCGGAGTAACCTGGAGATTTAAAAGCCGCCGCTGGCGCGCGTGGGGGAAGGAGGCGGGGGGTAGAGCTTGCGCGCGCTGGCCCCGGGTGACAGCCGCACGCCTCGGCCAGGTAGGCGCGCGTTCCCTCCTCTCCCAGAGGAGAGGCTTCCCGGTGCGGGAAAGGGAGGGGCGCTCGCGGCTGAGCTCCGCGGTGTCGCGTGTTTTGCGCCCCGCGGGATGGGCCCGCGCTGTGGCCGTCCCGGGCGCTGCTGGCCGAGTCCCGCGCGAATCCCACAGGAGGGCGCGAGGCTGCGGGCGCCTGGGAACGCGCCCCTGCTCTGCCGCGGGCGGGCGCCCAGTGCCCAGCGCCAGCTCGGGTCCCCACTGAGCTGCGCTTTCTTCCGCGGAGGGCGGGCTGGGTGAGAGGCGCCCGGGCTATCCCAGGCCGGTGGCGGGGTGGGCGGGGAACGGCCCCTCCCCGGAGCTCCGGGTCGGGCCGACGGCTGGCGGACCGGCCGGCCGCTCGCTCCTGTTGCAGCCTCCCGCGTCAGACTTTTCTTTGGAAAGTTGCGTTTATTTTCTTCCCTTGTCTGGGCTTCACCGGAAAGGGGCAGGATGAGTCACCGGGGCGCGCACAGTCAGGGACTTGGGGGAGCGGGGAAAGAGGCCGACGGCTGGGAGCCGTGGGGTGCTCGGGCCAGCTTTCTGCTGGGAGAACAAGACGGTTATTAAGGGAGGGAAAAGGGACTTAGCCCTTTCGGATATTAGTCTGGGGTGAGGCTCTGGGCAGAGAGTTGAGGTTGGACTCTGTGTACCAGTGCCCCCCTTTTCAGCCTCGGTTATCTCTTGGGAGGAGGAAAGAGGCCGATGCGTTCTCCTCTTCGACTCCCGGGGTTCAGGTGGGAGTGGTGCGAGTTCTCCCAACAGCAGACTGGTGTGATGCGGTGGTACCTGGCCAGTGGGTGCAGCTTCTCAGAGCTCTAGGCGTAGGAAGCAGCAGGCCTGCTGGAGAAGCCCCCAGGGATCTGCCGAGAGTGAGGGGCATTCCTTCCCATAGTCTCCCATTCTCCTCAGGCACTGGAGTCCTGCGAGTTTCTCTTGCCCTTGACTTCTGAATCAGCTTCCATCTTCCTGACGGCAACTCCTGACCTACTCAGCTTCCCCCTCTCCCCACGGCGCATTCTCCCATGCTTCCTCTTTTCCCAAGGGGCCAGAGTTGGGGGTAGGGAGGAGTTTGGCATGGTGGGTACCTGGTGAGGGCTCGCCCTTCAGCTGTTACACTGACCCGATCCCAGTGGAGCTGGGACTAAGAATAGCCCAGTTGCTGTCTTGCTGCCCTGTAGCCTGCAGCCCAGCATTGCCAGTAAACCAGGGCCCAGAGTGACCCTTGCTGGGCTCCTGGAAGCTTTGCTTAGGGGTGGAATTGAGGTCCTGGGAGCTTCTCACTACCTTTCCTGATGCACTTTATGGATCTTTGAGAGCAGAGACAACTTTGGTGTGGACTCACCTGCCCAAAAGGTGGTGGGAACAAGCTAGCTTATTGGGGTGGATGGGGAAGGGACAGACTAGATGGCAAGCCTATGGAAACCCATATAGCAGCATGTCCTAGGGGATAAGTGGGACATAATTTGAGGTCACGGGCCCTTCTCTTGGACCGGTCCCATCCCCTCATTCCTCCCTTATCTCCTCCCACCAGGCCTGTCATGGAGCCAGGACTCTGTTGTTCTAAAAGTGCTCAGAAAATGGAGCTTGAGTCAGCAGGATGAGTCCAAAGATAAAAATACAGCTGTGGATGAATGTACAGCTGTGGACAGACAAGCCCCAATTTAGTGGGTGTGTTGGGGGGGAGTTTTCCTGTGTATTCGTGGGGTGTGTCGTGAACTCCCCCTGCCCTCTTGGCTCTGAGTAGCCCTGAGGGAGGAAGGGTAGGAGCTGGACAGTGATCCCTGGTGGCTCACTGAGCCATTTTCCAGGACATTGGGTGGTGGAAGGATTGCATGAAGGCCCCTCTGCAGCTCTCCCCTTACCCAAGTTGGAGCTTCAGCTCTCAGCCAGGGCAGGGCTGGTCTGGAGACTCTGAAAGTGAAGTTAACTTTAAGTACTATCATTTGGACCATGACGGCCTGATAATGTTATGGATAAAAACCCAGACTTTTAGAAAGGCAGTCTATATACTGGCTACTCTACTGGTCTGACAAGTTACTTAACCTTTTCTAAGCCTCAGTATTCCTAACTAAAAAATGGGAATGATAATAATGTCTACTGTATAGTTTTTATTAATCATTAAATTATAACAGATATAAATTGTATTTGCAAATATATAATCATAAAGTCTAAAAATTATTAAACAATGCATATAGAGTCCTTAATTGTGTGCCTGATATGTAGTAAGTGCTAAATAAATGTATCTATTATTATTATCATCTGTGTCTCAATGGACAACATCACCCAGCCTGAGACTTTTGGGCCTTTCCTTTAAACAGATTATTATTATTTTTTTGCCACAGTGCTTATTTCCTTAGGAGCCAGGTCTCCTGGACTTTGGGGAGTTGGTATGAATAGTTAAGATACTGGGCTCTGGCAACATGGTTTGAATCTCATTGCCTCTTGCACAAGTTAAACTTTCTGCACTTCAGCTTTCTCTTTTGTAAAATGAGGATAATAGTACCTAACTCACAGTATTGCAAGGATTAATAAACTGATGTAGGTAGAGCTCTGAGCACAGCAGCTGCTTGTAAAAAGAGCTTGATAGATGTCAGCTGCTGTTATTTGGTGACAATGGAGGCAATCATGGTGGTTAGAAACCAGAGTTTCTTACCAAGGGAATTGGACCATATATAACTGTATGTAAGTTACAGATGAAACATCTGCAGTTGAACTTGTCTGGTGCAAAGATCGCACCAGAACTGGATGTCTTTTTTTCTCCCCAGTCAGTATTGTGTGACCAGTAATTTTTTTGTTTGTTTGTTTGTTTTTGTTTATTTTTTTGCAGTCTTTGGCGAGGGCTGGGTTTGAACCTGTAACCTCCAGCATATGGGGCTGGTGCCCTACACCTTTCAGCCACAGGCGCCACCCTGTGACTGGTATTTTAATTAGTCCAGAAATCCCTGCCCTGCCTACCTCCCAAAAGTATACTCCTCAAGTTAGAAAAGGGTACCATGAGGTGAAGGTGACTATATATTCTGAAAAATTAAGAGCCTTCTGTGTGGAAAGCTTATTTGTTGTTATTTTAAGGAAAACTATGTGGGGAGGGTGTCCTGAAGTTGGGATTCTGCTCTGTCCTTCCATTCCAACTCTTAGGCCCTTTTGCACTGCTCTTTGGTATCCAGAAAAAAAAAAATGTAGCTTAGCTTGCTTTGAACAGTCAGTGGCCCTGTTTGCTGGGCGGCAAGGGTGGAGGCTGGACCAGTTGGTACCAGGCCCAGTGTATTGAACGCTGATGCCACTTGACTCCCAGCAATAGAGCTGGAGTGTTGAGCTTTGTCCAATGTATTAAGTGTCCCTACTTGGGGGCAGAGACTAGTGACAGAGCCATCACGGGATAGTCCTGATCCCTGGCCAGAACTTCCTGTTTAATCCCTTTTTCTGCTACGTGGTCTGTTTCCTCTTCCATAGGAAGAAGTCCACAGTTTTGCTACCAACCCTGAATGACTTGTGGGTATTGCTTCTGTTATTGAAGATGGGCCTGCCTCTTCTATTGGCCTTCATTTCTTTGCCTGTAAAATGGAGATGATAGCATTTACCTTGCAAGATTATGATGAGGATTAAATGTATATGCATATTTAGCAAAGTGCCTGCACAGACCAGATGCTCAGTGAATGTTTGTTCCCTCCCTTTCTTTGTTACTTTTGGAGATCACTTTTGGGGAGCTGGGATAAGCTAGCAAGAAAGGTATTGGAGACCAGGTGAGGTGGCTCACACCTGTTATCCTAGCACTCTCAGAGGCCAAGGCGGGTGGATTGCTTGAGCTCAGGAGTTGGAGACCAGCCTGAGCAAGAGCAAGACCCTGTCTCTATAAATAGCCAGGTGTTGTGGCAGGCACCTGTAGTCCCAGCTGCCTGGGAGGCTGAGGCAGGAGAATCACTTGAGGCGGGGCGCAGTGGCTCATGCCTGTAATCCTAGCACTCTGGAAGGCCAAGGCCATGGATAGCTTGAGCTTATGAGTTTGAGACCAGCCTGAGCAAAAAGCAAGACCCCCATCTCTACTAAAAATAGAAAAAGTGAGGTAAGAGGATCACTTGAGGCCAACATTTGGAGGTTGCTGTGAACTATGATACCATGGCACCCTACCAAAGTGAGGTGACAAAGTGAGACTCTGTCTTAGGAAGGGAGGAAAGAAAGAAAGGGATTGGAGACCAGCTCTTGTTCTACATCCCATAGTTCCTTAGTCACTACATCCAGGCCAGACAGAATGCCTAGCCAGCCAGGTAGGATGTTCTCAGGAGTGGCCAGCCCACAATAGCAGTACCTCTTTCCCCTGTACTCTCTGTACTCCCACCTCCAGGCCTTTCTAATCTTGTGTACTTTGAATTGGCAAACAGTGTCCAAGCTAGGAGCATCTGGCCCATTCCAAGTGATGTGGCAATCTAGAGCCTAACTCCTGGTTCCTGTCCCTAGAAAGAGCTGAGCACCCAGCTACCTTGAGTGAGGCCTTGCTTGAGCCTTGGGCATGCTAGTCAAATCACATCTGACAAGAATCTTGATTTGGCCTCACCCATAGGTTTTCTGTTGAGCACCAGTCCTTCTCAGGGCCTGGGCTAGACCTGTGCTAGACCTGTGTTCTCTACTTTCCAGGAGCTGAGGCACTAGGGGTAAGGGTAGCACTGGGGGAAGGACTGCAAACCAGAGACCCTCAGGACTGTGTGCAGTATCCAACCCTGGTTAGCACAGTTGAGACTGGTGGGGAGAGGGGATACTTGATGGCTGGGGTCCCAGAGGGCCCTGAAGGAGAATGGATTTGAAGCTGGACAGGGTTTTGGCGGAAGCATAAAGCAGCCCAGGAAGGGGAAGTAACTGGAGCATGGTGACCGCTTTGGAAGCAAAAACAAGCCCATTGCTTTTTATGTATCACCTCTTCCCCTCTTCTTAGCCCCAGGGAGGTATGATGACTCATCTGAGGACATACAGATA